GTTGTTCGTTACCTTCGATTGGTTCCGGTACCCAGTTAGGTGCCGTGGGCGCCTGGTTGCTGTGGGGCGTAGCAGTTGAAAACGGCTAGGAGTCGAGGAACGTGTGACTGGTGTTGTGACAGTAGACAGCCGTGCTCAAAGCATATCTGCAATAGTTCAGCCAGCACTCGTGTGGGTTTGTACGTAGACCATCGACTTAGTCGGCATAGTTTATGGTTAAGACTAGGATGTTATCTACTTCGAAAAACACAAATACTCCCAACCAAGATTATGCTAACACCAAAAAATGGTGTTTTTTGCGTACACATCTCATGGAGGTCTTTTCGCAGACGTATCGGGCTCTTTCCGGACCCCTTTGGTTGTGGAGCAATGGAGCTTGGTAAATCGGTCTAGGGGGGGTGCCATCTCTCCGACTCTTACGGAATACCACGGTACGGTATACGGTACGGTACTGAAAATCTTGGTTGTGAAGCAATAGAGCTTGGTAAATCGGTCTAGGGGGGGTGCCATCTCTCTCCGCCTCTCGCCGTAGTCCGAGCAACCACACCAGTACTGCCAACTTACATGGCAACTGGAATAACAACGGCGGTAGCGGCGATGATCAACCCCGTCGTTTTCGCACTGCCACCCGGTTCTGTTAATCTGGACTGTCGTCGGTCTGGTGTTGATCAGGCGGCGGATGCGAAGTTGGAGGCAGCAAGGGAGCGGGAAGCGCAGCTAGCAAAGAGGTGAGTGGCGGGGTTGTTATTCTAAGGATCTTGTTGTTGTTGATGATGATGATGTCGTTGTTGATGTTTTGGGGACTTGTCCCTGCTGCTCCGGCCCACCGTTGCTGCGGTTGTTTTTCGTGTTTCGTGCGTGCGTGTTCCTTTAGTCCCAAAGCCCTCGAGGGAGTATTTGCCGTGTTGTTTTTTCCACCTTTTGCTGCCGTGTTCTTTGTGTCATATTGCTTGGCGTTGATTGCCGAGCGGAAGCGGCGGACTTTGTCTACTCATCTCCTTTGCCCAACAGGTCGCCGGCGACGCCTGGGGCCTGTCCATATTCCATTTGTTACTTTCTGTATTTTACTGCGAGACGACTTATCCTCCAAAACGTTGATGACGTCGTCGTCGTCGCCGTCGTTGCTGTTGTTGTTTGAGGGGCTTCTCCCTGCTGCTCCTGTCCACCATTGCTGTTGCCCTTTTTTATTTCGGGGGCGGGGGAAGCATTTGCCGTGTTTCGCGTGTTGTCGTTGTCGCGCGTGTGTGTGTTCATCCAGTCTATACAGTCTTTGGAG